ATGTTTGTACACGTACGTCACCCCTATTTATCCGTATGAAAAAATCTCCACTTTTGAATAAACTTAATAACTTCATTGAGGGGGTGGTCACAATGAAATAAAATGGTGGCTATCAAAGTGGCTCATTCATGAGCTTGCAAGTTGCTGAAGTCAGCAAGATACTGTTGTCTAAATGCAACAAGGAAGGTTAAGAAAGTTGATATTCCATGTTCTTCATTGATGTGACTAACTCTCATCAAGAGAATGTCAGTCAGCATGCAAGAAGCCAAAAACTACCATTAGTGCTAGCTACAGTTGTATATCATTTGTGCAACTGAAAACTGACTGTACCTACATGTATCTTTAATGCTTGCTAAATGCTATAAGCAAGGTAATTTTAATAATTGCTGCAAAAGATTACAAACGTAGATCATCAAGCACTACACCCATCAAGTTCTGAGCCTGCGCAATCAGATCTATGTGTGAGTACTGTTAGTCTGTAAAGATCTATTGTATGTACATTGCTTTGCTTGCTTAGGCTCGCCCCTTCAATGTTTTACATTCGTCTAATTATTATTCGTTATTATTATTATTATTATTATTATTATTATTATGATTTTGACCATTATGGTTTCAATCATGACAGAGAATATATACATTATTATTATTATTATTATTGTTATCATTATTGTTATTATCATTATTAACATTCATTATTATTTTCACGCATGAGCATAACACACACGTTCTTTTGTTCATTTTTCTTTCTCCCTTGTTCTCCATCTCATGTTTGGCTACTCTCTTTATATCATTGTTATCATTGCCCATCTCATTCCTTTGTTATTTAATCATAACATATTGACAACCTAACTATTTGTTAACTTATTTTTTCTGGGGTTACTAGCCACGACAAGAGAACAGAAAATTCAATAATCTTCCTCTGTAGTGTCTTGAATGCTCATTCAGAATCCTTGATTTGTCTTTTCCGTGACAAAAAAGCAGGTAGCAAAAGCGTAGTAGGTTCCCCTGCAGCTGTTTCATAGTTAGAACA